TGTCGAACAACATTTGAATTGAAAATTGCACATAAGCAAAGTGATTAAATTAAGTAGACCTAAAGTGGGTATCATTGTTTTGCGTATTATGTAGGTCAGTATTTAGAGAGTATACCTCATAATTATACAACACGTTTACCTCTGATAATTACTATATCCCCAGCGTCAAAATTACTCTAAATTAACACAGTCTGAAATATGCCACAACAAAGCATTGGAATTCATTGCTCCCCTCATTAAAAAAATATTAAAACTAAGCATGTATTCAAATCTAGCTCAAAATATTATCTTCTTAATAAGGGAATCAACTATCCTATATCAAAACTCATTAAACTTATTAAATTTTATTCAAATTAATAAAGAAAACATTACCGCATTCTTTACAGCTGAAATGCACATATGGCACTCGATAGTCAGTGGTAGGGATACCCTCTTTATTTATATAATCCCAGTATTATATTCTAAAACAGTTGCATGTGGGTGGTGAAGCAGAACATATTTCTAGAGTTAGGAGCTATACGTAAATCATTTCGTCCATGGTTGGCATGATGAAATCAGAGGAGAGTTATTCTGGTATGGCTTTGCCGCTACTGTCATCAACTCAAATTGATCCGAATGGCCACGATAGTCACTGCATTGCGCTTTCGCCACGATGCTTGAAAATTGTACAATCTATGAAAGGTATTATGTTTGGAATATTCGCCGCAATCTCGTTTGCCGTGGCAGATTATTGGATACGAGTGGTACAAGAAGTCGGCGGAGTTGGACCACTGCAGACGACTTTTTACTTAAACATTGGTATGAGCATTTGCGTCATTCCAATTATAATTTATAAATCAATCAATATTGTTGGAAAGAGTTACAAAGAACTGGGTATTTTAATAACAATCGCAGCTCTTTATTTAGGATCGTCCTTCACATTAATTAAGGCGTTATTATTGGGACCTATCGGCAATGTTACTGGAATTCTACGTGGAACAATGCCAATTATAACGCCCATATTATCGATGATAGTACTCCGTGAATCACTTCACATCGTTGATGGTATAGTAACTGTTGTTAATATTTGTGGTATATTGCTGATGGCACAACCACCGGAAATATTTGGAACTGAAGATCAGTTTGAAGCGGTGAATTCTCTCGAAATGTTTGCGTATGGTTTGGCGATATTTACTGGTGTGCAGTTGTCTCTTTGTATTGTAATAGTCAGGTATTTAGGGGAAAACAGTAGTGCATTGGTAATACTGTGCTGGGTTAGTATAATTGGTTCTGTGATATCCTTAATTTTTACTCTGGTAATCGAAAATCCAAAATGGACTATGGATTTAGAAATGTCTTTAACAGCTACTGGAATGGTCATTGCAACTCTATTGGGAACGGTGTGTCGATTAAAATCTCTTCAATTAACGGAAGCCACACCCATTGTTTTATTGGCGAACATCCAAATAGTTGTAGCATTTTTGTTGCAAACCTACGGTTTGCTTGAAATTCCTGATATTTACTCTATTTTAGGGACTAGTATTATTTTACTTGGAGCGATAGTATGTGCTGTAAATACCTGGTGGAGGGATTATCAGCTTAAGAAAAAATGTCCATACTATGATATGTAAAATACCTAGTGGGTTAGTAGTAGTATAAATGTAGAATTAAGTTTAGTACTGTGGTAGGATTTAGCAGCTTGTTTTGGGCATGTTTTCACTGATGTACGTGGCCATGCACTTTATAGATATTCATGGCTATTCTGCCTTCTGAATTTATGAATCGTTATCTACTGAACGTCTTGTCGAAATTCGATATTAAGAAGTGGTTGTGATGGGTGACATGGGGTGGTAATCTGCACTACACTATAGACTGTCTTCACGCTGACAGGTGAATCCTAGTCGAATCTACGCCAAAAATACGCTTTTTACAGCCTGCTTCGGTTCCGGCGTGAACAGATATTGAACTCTTAGACTAGTTAAGGAGTCCAAATGCCATATCTGCGTCCAATATTATATGCATAGTATTTGGCGTACTTGTATTAATGTATTTAGTTCAGGCAATTAATGCATCTTGTTTCGAGTAGTAGTTGACCTAAGTATTCAATTGAATATTATAATTAATTATTTGTTGATGACTGATATTTTTATTCATTAAACACATGTCCCCCTGGGAGTGTACATATATAAATTGTAATTAATTTATCAATAAATGATAACGTTCTATATTTGTACACATTTTTTGATTGGCTGAAGCTACAATTACCTCTTCCACGCATGAATTTATCATGTGACATGTACTAAATTTAAAAAAAAAAAACTATATTATAAAACGAGTATGTAGAATATATTATAAATATTTAGGAACATGTTTGAAGAAAGATTTGTTAAGATAGCACTTGAGTTAGGACGCGCAAATATAACAGTGAGCGTTATAGTATTACATTTTTACTAGCGCGAGAGTAGAACCATACGATTGTTTCACAATCGGAACATGTACTACACAATATAGTCAAAGCAATGAGAAAGATACGGATTTTTTAATAGTAAATACCATCAGACAGGTCAGATGGTGATGTTCATCTTGCAATATGAAGTATTTGTATATGAGAATAAGTTTCACATATTGATGTACTTAGTATACTGTGATGCAATAGAAGCATGTGACTGTATTGTATCTGTATTGTAGCAATCATCTCTACAGATGTATCTATGTTACGATATGTATTTATAATACCATTACCAAAATATATATGTTACGATATGTATTTATAATATCATTACCAAAATATATATGTTCAAAAACGTGCCTAATAAGATCCAATAAACAGTATAAGTTACAACAAACAATGGATAATTGTTATACTGCGTACCAAATTTAGAAGTATACATTATGTACTGTAGTTAACATATCCGTTTATATCGTGGTTGTTCAGTTATTCCCTTCTTCCACCAATACATTATTATTTATTTATTATAGTCAAATAGATGCGTGTATAACCCACAGTCACCCGTACTCAAGAAACATAGTTTGACCGGACCCCACACAAAGAAACTCGCTGAATCGGTTTTAAACGTTTTGGGTTTCGGCATTCCCATGATATATTCCTGGCAGGAAAAGATATAGAATAATAAGGTTATTATGAGGATACTGCAAAGTATGTACCCAGACAGTACGCGGTGACATCGACACCTGCTGCAAGTCGGTCGATACTCCAACTGTACTGTCTTCATGCATGCTTTGCAGTATACCTCATAATATCATGTATTCCATACCCAGGGGGTCACTCTAAATGCAGTTACTACCCCATGTTACTAGTGTTTTCAACACTGCGATATGAGATAAAAACGAGTACTCACATGGTAACTAGTGTTTTCATCACTGCGATACGAGATAAAAACTATTACTCACATAATGACTAGTGTTTTCATCACTGCAATACGAGAAAAAACGATTACTCACATGGTAACTAAGTTTTCATCACTGCGATACGAGATAAAAACGATTACTCACATGGTGACTAGTGTTTTCATCGCTGCAATACGAGAAAAAACAATTACTCACATGGCGACTAGTGCTTTTATCGCTGCGATACGAGAAAAAACAATTACTCACATGGTGACTAGTGCTTTTATCGCTGCAATACGAGAAAAAACGATTACTCACATGGTGACTAGTGCTTTTATTGCTGCGATACGGGAAAAAAACGATTACTCACATGGTGACTAGTGCTTTCATCGCTGCAATACGAGATAAAAACGATTACGCACAAACTGTATATCACCCTCAGAAGCAGAAAATTAGAATTGTGTTTGATTGTGCCGCAGAATATCGATGGACTTCCTTAAATAAGGAGTTGATGCAGGGACCAGATTTGGTCAACTCACTGATTGGAGAACACATAGCATTGATGTCTGATGTGGAGGCCATGTTTTCTCAGGTACACATACCCAAGGAAAAGCAGGACTATCAAATGTTCTTGTGGTGGGCAAATGGTGACATCCAAGCAGCTTCAGCTGGGTATCACATGAAAGTACATATATTTGGTGCTACATCATCACCCAGCTGCGCAAACTACCCTTTGAAGAAATCTACTGAAAACACTACTGATCGATGTGTTCAGAATATCATACAGACTGGTTTTTATGTTGATGACATGTTAGTTTAAGTCTGCTTAAACTTGGGCTTTCCCTTGAATCTCACCATACCCTCGTCAATCACAATTTTCTGTCCCATCTGATAATATCGCCGGCAATTTTCAGCCACGGGTTGATTTTATACAGCGGGTCGGCCTCTGATCGTTGACGACGACGTTCAATGTCAGGATCCCACCGTGGGTCATTATTTAATGGATCAGCTAAATGAACATAACGCATTAGCATTTGAAATCTGGCCCGAGTCATTACTGATGCTAAACCCATATTCTGCAGAAAGGGGTCACTCAACCAATAATTGTCGATTGCTGATTTGTGATCAACACCCATACATATCAACACACCAAAGAATGCTTACATTTCACTGAAATTTGTATTACGCAAGGGGGCATTTAATTTTTTTGCAATGTATTAAAACTGGAATAGTAAATATATCACCGCCTTCCTCCGTGGCCTTCTCCATTCACCAGTGCCGGAGGCAACATAATCGAATGTAGCACCAATTTCTGTGTCGGATTCAATTTCAATGTCACTATCGAGTGCAGGTGAGTAACGTTGCTCTAAAAAATCGTCATTCTCATCACAATCTTCATCGATTTCTGAATCTGTGTCGTCGTCATTTGCAACTATGAAGTCATCTGGTATTTTGTGTTGTAGTTTTTTCGTCCAATACAAGTTCATCATCACGCGTGTCCATTGGCGATGCATACACAAAACACGTTTTTTAATAGTTGTTTTTCAGAGAAACTCGCAAGTGTCGGGGGGCAGTCTCCGACTTTTGTTCTTTTTTCTATTTACGCCTTTTTTGAGAGGAATATAATCACTGGTGTCCGTGGTACGTTCGGCTAGTAACTCACCAACGTCAAATGTTTTCTTTGCTTTGAATTTCTTTCTTTTCCTACGCTTTGCTAGGGAAAAATATGTCGTGTCAATGTCAAACTTATCACTTCAATTTCTTTCTTGCCTTCATAAAACACTTCCTATCTGTAAAAGACGGCATATTAACGTAGGTATCGGAATAGAGGCACACTGCGAGTCTGGGCTTTATCTCACTTTCCTCGGCCATATTTATACTGAACGACCAGATGTCCACAAGACTGCCTCTCCCCTCAATTTGAATATTTATTGTTATGTAATAATTATGTTATTTTTCCGAACACGGATTGGTTTCAATTTGCATACACATAGAATTGCATATGCTGGCTCAGACGGTGAAATCACATGGACTGTTGGCGATTGCCGATATTTCAAACTCAGCTGGAATCCGTCATGCTATTCATTCTAAGTGCCGGGACTATTTGCCAAGCTGGTCAAAATACGCTACTGCCATTATAATCGTGAATCATATCGTTCAAATACCGTTGTAATGCTGCAATTTGCAATGTAGTCAAGGCAATTTTATGTCGTCGTAAACGTCGCGTTGTGGCGGTAAAATAATGAAATGAACAGTATAGAATTACATTCTTTATTACTCGGTTAGTTTATTTGACTTGTTGGTATTGAAAACAAATTCTCTCCCTCCATAATTTAGTGTAAAATATCAGGTTCCGTACAACGTATTATAAACATTTGACCGTCCGAGCAACCAAAATAGCAGACTGTTTTACAACAACTTAACTAGTTACCTAGCTGGAGTAGTAAATTCTAGCACACCCATATTGACGGCGTTTTTTCACCGACTTTACTGAAAAAGGGTTAAAGCCATTCCAGAAAGTGAGATAGCTAAAGTTGTGATGTACTTAGATTTGGACAATGGAACGTAGGCACAGATCATCTTGGGCCCATCAAACCCACTGTGATCTGTAATGTTTTCCAGCAATGGATGGATGAAAATGGAGTCCTGTTGGACCAACTTAGTAAGGTCGATAACCGCCATGCTATGTTTACCTTGCAGCATGATACAGATATTGGTCATGGTCTTTGTCTGGATGAGGGATGCAAGCTAGAAGACTATGTACACTATGTAGATCGAGATTGAGTTGAAATTTATTTGTACTATCAAGCCTTATTATACATCGCGAATCGAAATTTGTTCATTGATTTTTCTGTAATTTTTGAAATTATTTGCTTTTATTAATCTTGGTGACAAAATTTGTTTAAGTTAGAAATTGCCATTTTGTTATGGGTCATTTGGGGGCTGGTGTCAAGTCGCCAATTTAGATTTTATTGTTTTTGAAGATTTATTGTGAGCGCCACCTAGAGTTCAGAGTTGTTTAATCGTTAGTTTAAGTTAGAAGCCATTTGAACTGCATAGACGACTGTCTCGTGATGATGCCGCGTAGTCCAACAAGGTTTTTACAAGCGTGTTTTTTCGAGTTGCTGTAATTAAGGACTAGAGCCGAGTGTGTTTTTGTGAGTTGCTGTAATTTAGGAATAGAGTTGAGTTGAACGTGAGCAGTGTTGTCAGAATAAACAACCCAAAACTGGATCTGAAGTGTCCACGTTTGATTGTTATTGACGGAAATCTGGTAAACTGC